CAATCTTGTGGGTTTTCTACGGGACCTACGGTTTCCTCCCACTGCTAAAGACCCCTATGCGCAACGAATTATTGAAATAAAATTGAACCATATGTTAATCCCGAAATGACCTAGTTTGTGTCAAGTGGACGTTAAACCCCATTTCTCTCCCTCTCTCTTTCGATTCCGGGCTTGTACCCAATTATCCCTTGCCATATCCAAGACTACTGACAAGTGGGAACTATGCCGGAAAATCCAGTTGAAATTTCTCGGCCAACACCTTATACTCACTGAACCACTGTGGCTTATGACTTGTGATTGTATATAAATTTTTTGTACATATGATATTTTTTTATTTCAATCCTGTAATCTTGATGCTTTGCTTCTTTTATTTACAAAATATTCATTTTGTTTGGGTTTTTTTTAATGAGGAAAAGGTTTTACATCATTTTATTACTCCTGCAAAATAGTGCATTTTTCTTTTGTTAGTTTTCTGTGTATATTAGTTATTTCTATATGTCTCACAAATCACTTGTAGTGTGATTTTGTAGCACTTTTCAGTTTTTGAAATTGTTTCAATTTAGTGCATAATTAATCTTAGTGCTTGGTTTGGATGTTATTAAATTTAGATATTATTTGAATTATATATTTTGGGACCCCCCCCACACACACACACACACCCCACTTTACCCATCACAAAATATAACATAGCTATTAAAATTGTTCTTAACCCCACACACTTTACCTATCACAAAATATAAAATAGCTATATAAATTGTTCTTTACCCCAAAACAAGAACTGAGAATATAAAGATATGTACACAGTATCCCTACCCCATACTCCAATTTATATACAATCACAAGTCATAAGCCACAGTGGTTCAGTGAGTATAAGGTGTTGGCCGAGAAATTTCAACTGGATTTTCCGGCATAGTTCCCACTTGTCAGTAGTCTTGGATATGGCAAGGGATAATTGGGTACAAGCCCGGAATCGAAAGAGAGAGGGAGAGAAATGGGGTTTAACGTCCACTTGACACAAACTAGGTCATTTCGGGATTAACATATGGTTCAATTTTATTTCAATAATTCGTTGCGCATAGGGGTCTTTAGCAGTGGGAGGAAACCGTAGGTCCCGTAGAAAACCCACAAGATTGGACAGGCGACCCTACTCCTTGTCACGTACAACCGGGGATTCGAAACCACGCCAGTTGACTCAATGACAGGCCATATGATACCGCACGCACAGGCTTACCATTCGGCCATCCACCACCCCCTCCCCCATTCCCGGAATCGAAACCATCCCCACTGCGTTCACTTAGAAGAAGCCTTGACAATTGAATTATTTGACTCAATGACAGACTTCCTGATCAAATGTGTGCGTGTTAATCATTGCCCCCCCCCCCCCCGGGTTCCCGTTAAAGAGCCCTTGACAGTTGAAATATTTGATATAAGAGTAGGGTGTAGGGCAGAATCACTCTAAGAACACAGAAAAGTAGGATACTAAACCGTATTTCATTTCATAAGCAAGGGAAAGTCACCTTTATGTAGGTCAAGGTTTTTTGTAATTCTGGGTGTATTTGATCTACATTTGGTTTCTAGTAATGCCTATTAAATACTTTATGATTTCTGACCAAATTCTAAGTGATTTATATGCCACTTTACTTGCTATATTATACATACATTTCTGAAGAGAATTAAAATCTAATTGTGTTTTGGAAGAAAATTTAACATTAATAACAAAAAATAAATATTTAAAAATTGGGTCAGAAGTATAAAATAAATTGATGCTTGGGTTTTCTTGTTGTTATCATACAGCAAATACTCTTTCAATGGTGTTCCAGCCTAAAAAATAAAAGTGCCAAATTGTGGTCAAATCTAAAATGTTGAAACATGCAGTGCCTATCAATTTTAAAATATCTCCTATATAGCTGTATTTCCATAGGATAAGTAAGTTGAAATAATCTGATTATGTAACACTACAACAGCTTTTTCATCCCTACCCCCCAGTTTGGAATCTGATAATTTAAAAGCACATGAATTTTGAATTCCACAGAACATTTTTATTTTTGAACATAAATGCATTCTTCAAAAAGATGAGATGAATTCAATATAAATCAAACACGAAAATACTTTAAAACAGTAATCATGATGCAATATTAGACTTTTAACACTTTCATCGAAAACCACACAGTTTTTCTCTGTTAACATAGTTTCAAGTGCCAAATTGTGGTCAAATCTAAAATGTTGAAACATGCAGTGCCTATGAATTTCAAAATATCTCCTATATAGCTGTATTTCCACAGGATAAGTAAGTTGAAATAATCTGATTATGTAACACTACAACAGTTTTTTCATCCCCCACCCCCCGGTATGGAATCTGATACATTGCTGACCAATCATAGGTCGCCCCGTTCACTCGGGCCTGTCAAATGATTTACAATGGCGATGGTGCCTACAACTTTCCTGACCAACCAAGAGATATGCACAACCGTCGATCAACACACAAGCCATTAATGTTATCTTCCAATATGAGTGGCCATGATAAACACACAAGCTGTTGTCTCCATTATGCATGATGACCACTTTTTTATTTTTTTTTTAGCAATGTAACAAAGTAGTAATTAATGTGTTGGTGGGCTAGAACCGAAGCTCTGTCAGGTTGCTTAGCAACATAGCCATGTTGAATTTTTTGTGGAAATCAAGGCACCAGCACTGTTGAAAGCCTTTGTTGAAAATTGTTGAAAAAGATGAATATGAATATGTTTTAAGTTCAGAAAAGTCACCAATTAAATGTGAGTTTTTGACTGTTTATTATGTAGACCATTCTTTTTTAGAATTAAGGTAAAGTTTTGTAGAAAAACTGTAAAATAACAAGTTGTTGGAAAGTTCAGCTATTTAATCTCGGCTATCTAATCTCAGTTATTTAACCTCTGACCCCGGCAGGTCCCTCTTATTGTGGAATGCAAGACAAAACATTGTTTTCAAGGGAGATAACTACTATTAATAATATATGAAAATCCTTGTAATTTATAATACTTAATTGTTTTTAATTGTTATATTTTGCAGCGAATCTCACTACCTCACTCACTACCTCATTCACTCACTCATTTACTGATTCACTCGTTAAGCTGTTGAAAGATGTTATGCTTATTGTAGAAAGACGTTATGTTTATTGTTTGAAAGATGTTATGCTTATTGTTGAAAGATGCCGAAAGATAATAAAACTTGAATTTTTAGTGAGATCTCGAATTTTTGGTGATTTATAAGATGAAAACATTGAAACGAATATGTGTTTATCCGAATGAACAGGATTGCACGTAACCGAACCTTACAATTCGATTTAATTGACTCTACTGTTCGTTAAAATGTCATCCCAAGAGCCATTATTACCGAAAGACGGCGAAAGCAGTAGACATAGTTCCCGTCACACAGAAAGAAAGTTGAAAGAAATTGAATTAAGGAAGTTAATGTTAAGACAAACAGAAGAAGCTTCCTTATTCGAATTAGAACTGCAACATGTCAAGAAGGAACATGATTTAGAACTTAGAAAGTTAGAAAATGAAAGACGATTACGCGAAATAAAATACCAAACGCGTCTAGCTGAATTAGAAATGCAAGAACTAGACGTGTGTTCAAAAAGTGATATAAGTTCAAGAGATGAACGCTTGCCTGCTAGTCCAAATCCCATAGACCAAATCAGAAAGACAGAAACATGGGTGAATTCTGACTTTACCCCAGAACTAGAAACCAGTAAAATGAACACAAACCCATTTACAAATAATGACTTTACTCCCAATCCCATTACACATGGCGACCCATCAAGGAGTAAAATTGGAATGAATACGAACCCTTTTATAAACAATGAATTCACTCCCAGTCCCTTTGTGAATTTTAAAATCAGTTCAAATCCTTTTGTTGATGTGAATACAAAAGAACCAAAGATAGAGCGAAACGTAGAAAACAATTCGCAAGCTGTCATGATGAAATTAACCTTGTTACACGCAATGAGACCTGTTAAATTCTGTGGCGATCCAGCAGATTACCCCATCTTCGGGGAACGTGTTAGGACTCACCTTGAAGATGGTCTGCTTGCCGAAAGTCAAAAGGTAGAATTCCTAAATAAGTTTATAGAAGGTGAAGTAGTCGAAGTGTTGAAACGTGTTTCTGGTTGTCCGTATGACAAAGTAATTTCTGTTCTTTATGAGAGATATGGACACCCTGCTAAGGTAGCTGCGGCATGCTTGAAGAATATAATAAACGGCCCCAAATTAGCCAACACAGATTATACTGGACTACAAAATTTCGCTGAAACACTTGAATCAGCAACAAATAGATTAACTGGTGAATATGAACAAGAGGCAAGTACCATGTCAAATATGAAATTAATAATCGCCAGATTACCTTCTTACCTAATCAATAAGTGGGGTGATAATTCCTATTATCTGCGAATGAACAATGCGACTCCGAAATTAAGAAATCTTTGTGAATTTGTGAAGAAACAGGCCAAAATTAAAAATGATCCTTTATTTTCTGCTGTTTCGTTACAAAGTACCGTGGAGAGAAAACCTGAGAGACAAAAACAATATACTGGTTATAGTTATAAACCAAACAGAGAGAAACAAACTTCTACTTTTTTGACAAACACTAGTAGCAGTACTCAAAGAGACAAATCCACATATGTTCCAAATAGAACACAAAATGATAGCTCGAAAACAAAACTCAAATGTCCATATTGTTGTGGTAATAATCATTTAGTACCACAATGTGGAAAATTTCAGGACTTGGACATACAAAATAGATGGGACTTTGTGAAAAAAGAAAGGTTGTGTCATGCGTGTCTTTTGGCAGGACATTTTAGAACTGCTTGTACATTTCAAAACTATTGCACTTGTACAACAGAAAGAAAACATCATCCTTTGCTTCATAATGACAGGGGAGTGCGAGAACAATATAATCAAACATTTGAAAAACAGAAACCTGAAACCAAGTCAAATTATGCCACATTCGTACATCCATTAAAAAAAGCTGTATTATTGCACGTATCAGCTGTAGCGCTTGTCTCTCCCGGTGGGAATATAATAACAACATACGGGTTAATAGACAATGCTAGTCGAGGGTCGATTATTGGGCGAGATATGGCTCGACATATGAAACTAAAGGGTAGAAAAGAATTAGTGTCGATAAATACCATCATTGGTAGCGAGACCCAAGAATACGAAATTGTTAACTTTGGCATTCAATCTGTTTCTAATGATTCAAAACTGTATGGTGTGGAAGCTATTATTTCGGATAGTTTCAATATATGTGAAAAATACCTCCCGCACGACATAAATTTACAAGACTATGAACACTTGGCTGATATTAAATTACCAGATGTGGACATAAAAGAAATATCAATTTTAATCGGAAAGGATGTTGATGAGGTACACGACATATATGAATTTCGCAAATCTCCAAATTCCGACAAACCCTTGCATGGGATTCTAGGACCATTAGGCTGGGTCATTACTGGAACGCTCGGTGAACCTGTAATGAACAAAGAAGTTAATGTGAATTATATTGACTACAATCATGACTATGATTTAAATGACATGGTTAAGAAGTTCTGGAAAATTGAAGACTCAGGAATTAATAGATCAAATGTCTCTGATAAATCCCTATCTATAGAAGATAAACGTGCCATAGACATTATGGAAAAAACTACAGTATTGTCTGATGGACACTATGAAACTGGTCTATTGTGGAAAAATGACAATGGAAAACTGCCAAACAATAAACCACAAGCTGAACATAGACTAGCATCTTTAAAACGAAGATTCGAACGCGATTCTGATTACAGAAAAACATACTTTGATAATATGAATGATAGTATTTTCAAAGAACATGCAAGAAAATTAAGTGAATCTGAAGTTTTGTCCACGTCAGACAGAACTTGGTATCTACCTCATTTTGGTGTTGTGAATCCTAAGAAACCAGGGAAATTGCGTATTGTGTTCGACGCTGCTGCACAATATCAGGGAACTTCTTTAAACAAGAATTTACTTCCAGGACCAGATAGAACAAATAATCTTGTGGGCGTTATTCTTAGATTTAGGCAAGAAAATATCGCTCTATCGGCTGATATACAGGGAATGTTTCATCAGATCAAGGTTCGCGAACAAGATCAAGACTCCCTGAGATTCCTTTGGTGGGACTCTGATGACATAAACTTAAAGCCCTCAGAATACGCATTTTGCAGACACATTTTTGGGGCTACTGACTCGCCCTGTATTGCAACGTCAGCACTAAGAAAAACAGCGTCAGACAACAAAAAACTTTATAATGAACTGACTATAAAAACTGTAGGTAAAGATTTTTATGTTGACGACTTGTTGACATCGGTGCCAACTGTAGGCATGGCGATAGAATTAGGACACAATTTAAGTGATTTATGTGAAAAGGGTGGTTTTAACCTAATAAAGTTCAACAGTAATAGCAAAGAAGTATTGTCAACATTTCCTGCAAAAAAACTAGCAGAAAAAACCATTGATTTAGACTTTGAGGAATTATCGAAAACAAAAGCTTTGGGAATTCAATGGAATGTAGAAAACGACACTCTGGGGTTCGACGTTGTCGATCTACAAAAACCTAATACGATGCGTGGGGTTCTATCTACGATTTGTAGCGTTTTTGACCCACTGAGTATAATTGCGCCAGTACTGCTACCGGCAAAATTGATAATGCAAGAACTGTGGAGGAAACAGTGGAAGTGGGACAAACCTTTAGAAGGACAATTACTGGACAGATGGTTAAAGTGGAAGAACAATTTATACAAAATAGAACATGTAAAAATTCAAAGGTGCTATTTTAGTAATATTGAACATTCTAATTGTACTATACAGTTACATCATTTTTCAGATAGTTCAGAATTCGCATATGGATCTGTGTCCTTTTTACGTATCCAATATGACAATGGCGAAATAGAATGTAGATTTATCATTGGCAAATTACGTAATGCACCATTAAAAGTTGTTAGTATACCACGCTTAGAACTACAGGCAGCAGTACTTGCTACCAGAATAAACACATTTATTGTGAATGGACTTGAATTAAAATTTGAATCCATAACATTTTGGACGGATTCTATGATCGTTCTAAATTACATAAATAATACCAACCGAAGATTTAAAACTTTTGTAGCTAACAGAGTAACTGAAATACACGAATCAACTATAACTGATCAATGGAAATATTGTCCGGGTACTGAAAACCCCGCAGATGATGTCAGTAGAGGAATGAATCCAGAACAGTTAAATATTCATAACAGATGGTTATCTGGACCGGAATTCTTAAGAAAACCGGAAAGTGAATGGACACATTCCCAACTTCAGGACATTCCTTTAGACAAGTTAGAAATTAAAAAGGAAGTGAATTTTACAAACATCGATTCTGAATCATCATTATTATACATGTATGTAATTCAGAAATATTCAAATTGGACAAAATGTTTGCGTGCCTTTGCTTGGCTGATTAAATTTGTCGATTGGATTGGATTGACGAACGTTGAACGATCAAAAATGAATAAAACTTTGTCTTTAAAAGAAATAGAATTAGCCAAACGAAAAATTATAGGCTTGGTTCAAAACGAATGTTTTGGCGAAGATATGAAAGCGTTAAAACGTAATACTTCTGTTAAGTCTTCTAGTTCTATTATTAGTCTAAAACCTGTGTTAAGAGATAATGTAATTTGTGTTGGTGGACGCATTTCAAAGGCGCCCATTTCTCTAAGTGCTATGCATCCAATGATTATTCCAAGAAAAAATCATTTGACAAAAATGATTATTCGACATATACATGAAACCAATGGACATTGTGCATTTAGAAGTAGCTCGTTCGCTTGAAACGGACGATTTCATCCTGACTTTAATTAGATTTTTGAATCGAAGAGGACATGTAAAGGAACTAAGGACCGACAATGGATCTAATTTTGTTGGTGCCGATAAGGAATTGCGTGATTTATGTAGAAATTTGAAAAATGAACAGATTGAAAGAGACTTAAGTAAACGCGGTGTAAAATGGATTTTCCATACGCCTTTAGCTCCTCATACGTCAGGAGTATGGGAGAGCTTGGTAAAAGTGGTAAAAAGGAGTTTAAAAACTGTCTTAAAGGAACCAGTAACAGATGAAATTTTACAGACTGTATTCACTGAAGCGGAATACATCGCAAACAATCGACCTTTAACAAAGAACCCAATGACGCCTTATGACTGTGAACCCCTAACCCCAAATCATTTTCTAAACATAAGACCTTCTTTAAATATTCCTCCAGGAATAGTAAGTAAGTCAGATCGATTTCATAAAAAGCGATGGAGACAGGCACAATTACTTTCGGAGCATTATTGGAAGCGATGGCTGAAGGAGTACATACCTTCGTTACAAAACAGACAAAAATGGCATCAAGTTAAAGAGAATTTGTGCAAAGGAGACCTGGTACTTTTAGTCAGTGAAAATTTGCCACGGAGTAAATGGCTCCTAGGACGTATAACAAATGTTTTTAAAGGACCTGATGGACTTGTCAGGTCAGCAGAAGTTAAAACAAAAAATGGTATTTTTAAGAGACCGATAACCAGGCTGTGTTTTTTAGAAGCCCATAACTCTGATTTGTGTAAAAAAAAAAAAAAAAAAAAAAAAAAAAAAAAAAAAAAATTGTTGAATTAGAATGTTGAAAGTTTGAAAGATTTGTTTGAAAGATTACTTTATAAGATGTGTTTGAAGATTTGTTCAAAAGATTATTTTATAAGATGTGTTTTTAAAAATACATGGTTAGAAAGATTTGTTCGAAACAGTACTTTGATATGTGTTTTGAAATAATTAGTTTGAAAGATTTGTTAGAAAGATTTAATTTGCTATATTATATTAGGTGATGAAGCTGTCTTAAGAGAGACCCTTCATGGGGGGCGGAATGTTGTCTCCATTATGCATGATGACCACTTTTTTATTTTTTTTTGAGCAATGTAACAAAGTAGTAATTAATGTGTTGGTGGGCTAGAACCGAAGCTCTGTCAGGTTGCTTAGCAACATAGCCATGTTGAATTTTTTGTGGAAATCAAGGCACCAGCACTGTTGAAAGCCTTTGTTGAAAATTGTTGAAAAAGATGAATATGAATATGTTTTAAGTTCAGAAAAGTCACCAATTAAATGTGAGTTTTTGACTGTTTATTATGTAGACCATTCTTTTTTAGAATTAAGGTAAAGTTTTGTAGAAAAACTGTAAAATAACAAGTTGTTGGAAAGTTCAGCTATTTAATCTCGGCTATCTAATCTCAGTTATTTAACCTCTGACCCCGGCAGGTCCCTCTTATTGTGGAATGCAAGACAAAACATTGTTTTCAAGGGAGATAACTACTATTAATAATATATGAAAATCCTTGTAATTTATAATACTTAATTGTTTTTAATTGTTATATTTTGCAGCGAATCTCACTACCTCACTCACTACCTCATTCACTCACTCATTTACTGATTCACTCGTTAAGCTGTTGAAAGATGTTATGCTTATTGTAGAAAGACGTTATGTTTATTGTTTGAAAGATGTTATGCTTATTGTTGAAAGATGCCGAAAGATAATAAAACTTGAATTTTTAGTGAGATCTCGAATTTTTGGTGATTTATAAGATGAAAACATTGAAACGAATATGTGTTTATCCGAATGAACAGGATTGCACGTAACCGAACCTTACACAAGCGTCCTTTTCAAGCTCGGAAATTAAGTCATCACCAAAAAGCAAAGTTTACAGAGGTCCTCGGGGCTGGAACCCAAACTGATTACGATTTGCCCTCCACTTCCACCACAGGTGTCATAGAGATCAGGGATGAAATTGATATGCATCATCGTTCTCCTAAAGCCAGTCCAGGAAGAGATCAGGTTTTGAGATGTAGACCTGAAATGTTAAATTTGGATGAGAATGAGAATTCTGGGGCGAATACTATCCAGGGAAATGGTCATTGACATCCAGAAAATGGTCAAAATGTGGAATTCTGTCATTCAGTTAAATGTCAAGGGGAGAAGACAGGCCTGTGCAGTACCAAATTTCCAGCCAATTACTATTAGTGAGCAGAAGTGGGGATGAGGTTGGATGAACTTCTTAAAGTGTATGAAATGCACATTTATCTCACCTGTTTTGCTTCTTTTTTTTTAATACTTGTGTTGAGGTCAATCATTCCACTCTATGAAACATTGCCCTGGCACCTGAAATGATAGGAGGCTGGGGATAAATATGCAATAAAAAACAGTGAGAAAATAAGAAAAAAATATGGTTTCAACTGGAAATAGAAATAAACCTCTTTATTTCTCGCGAACAGCCCGTCACTGGCCCTCCAAAAAGAAACCAGTTAACAATCAGTAAAAAAGTAAACCTTGAGTGTCACATAAGTCTAAGCCAATCTCAAAGGTAGATGCCATGTTTTGAGGTTCGGTCTAAATATTAAGGCCAACTGCATGTTTGGTCAAAAGTCACACAGGTGTGAATTTTGGAGTGTACATGTTAACATTTCATTGTATGATGTCAAAAACATGTTAGGTCTAAATGTTAAGGCCAACTGCAGATTTGGTTCAAGGTCACAACATGTAAATAGGGTTAGGGCACATGATTTTTTGACACAATTGTGGGTTTGGGCTAGGGTCAGAACTAGATCTTGGCTTAGGCCTAGGCTACATGCTTGTTGACAAGATTGTGGGTTAGGGTAAGGACTGGGTATTGGGTTAGGGTTAGGGTCAGTCTTGTTTACATCTCGTGACTTTAGACCAAATCTGGAGTTGAGTTGGCCTTAATATTTAGACCTAACCATGTTTTGATATCATTGTGAACAAAATGTTACACATTTACAACCCAAAATTCACACTCAACCAACGGATACCCCCAATCATGGCTATTTTGATACCAAATAGTCAAAAAACTTACTGCTGGGCTATAAAAAAGCAGTATTCTTACCATTTCTGACACTTTCCATTCAAAACTTCAGGAAATAAGCCGTTGAAAAAATATCAACATCCCGAGTCGGCCATGCTTCTTTATATCATCAGGACTCAGACTAGCAATTATTTGCCCATTGACTTCAATGTTAAATGACTGTAACATCACAGGCTGTAGCTTTTTGCTCAACATTCCGTTGGTTCCAATCTTTATAGGCACAATGGGGACAACATTTGGCAATCTCCTCATCATAATTTTGTAGGGGGTTGACCGTTTAGATTTTTTGCTACACGGTGAAAATCTCACTCCCAACACAATGATTGCTCTGCAGAAGGACACTTTACACCTCCTATCCCTCCGCTGTAATATCATCAGTATTACCCAAAACTGCTATGAAATTACAAATTTGATCCCTTTTCTCCAATTCTAGACCAAAAAGTCAACCCAAAAATGCAGGAAGAGGGGAGAAAAAAATTAAGGGAAAAATTGTCTATTTATAACTCCTTTATTAGGGTTGTCTTTCTTGCTTTTATCTTCCATTTATTTACGTTTTTGTTGTCTCAGAGATGGACTATTATTTAAAAAAAAAGTTGAAAATCGTAAAGTTTAGGAAATGTTAATCATATAATGATGAAAAAAAAATAAGAGCATATGATAATAAAAATGTGTTTGAAATTGAAGGCTCTATAATTAAGGTATCAGTATGGAACGGATCGTAATCGTACGGTATTCACTACGGTCAGACTGATATTTAGGAACGTAAAGTTATCAGTCTGGAACGGATCGTAATCGTGTGGTATTCACTAAGGTCAAACTGATATTTAGGAACGTAAAGAAGACCATTTTACTAACCGTCTCCATTTTAAGAAAGAGCAGATATAAATATATGATTATATCGACAGAATCTCCACACGAATCTTTAATTTAGTAGAAGAAGAGCAAGTTGATCATTGTCGCCATATTTGACCTATTTCTCGATTGGTTGTATATGCATATAACCAACCCGAGTAGCTCATTATTGAGCCGAGAGATTTATGAAATGAAATTGGGGTTTAATGACCCGCATTCCTTCACTATTCAGGCTAATGAACACGAGGCGTTCAAGCCAGCTCTTTATTCACAGAGCCGCCTGGCTCCCCTGAGAGACTTTCACTGACAACTAGTCATTGTCGAGACTAATGATTTTTATCGCCGCTGTTGATCAATATATATATTAAATAATAGCCCGAATTTAAGTATACCAAAAGTTAAAGAAATATAACCAGTTTTTGAGCCATTCAGATATGACTGCCAAAATTGTAATCAGCGCGCATGTTTTTTTAGGCTAAAGTCTAACCATAAAACTTAGTGTCCATACATAATAAATATTTTATTCCATTAATCAATTCCATTCCGCCATTGGTTTGTCTTAAACTCGTCATTTGTGTTCATGGGCATCAGGGTCGAGATGGCAACGTTATATGTTTTATTCGTCTAATTTACTATAAAACATCATTCGGTTTGCCTCACGGGTTAACGGCATATTAATAGCTTTATTCACTGAGATGGTTCCTTTACTTATAGTTTATTTTTCGAATTGCTTTTTGTATTTATTTAAATGGAAATATTTAGCACCTTCTTGTTAAACCGTTGAAAGATTTAAAGTTTGGATTAATGTTAAGAGAGTGTGGGTCAAAGATGCCGCTGGCAGAGTGTGTATAGGGTGTTAAAGTTTAAAAGTTATTCCCTACAAGGTGGTTCTACGGTTCTTACCATAGAATTCAGCTGTGAAATAACACAGTTTCTTTCATTATGTGTACAACAATAAAACTAGTTCAATTGCAAGTTGTCTAAACCACGGTGCTGTGATGTATGCATCTAAATGTTTCGACGACCCACCAATCGGACATGGAATGTGAAAATGCTTTGGAACTTTCAACTATAACACGTTGCAATAATTACTCAATATAAGCCAAAAGGATCCGCCTTGTTCATTTATAGTCCGGCCCTGTCTTCAGTATTAAAATATAAAATTGAACACAAAGTATATTTAGTAATCCGTATTGTAGTAATGGCAATCACGGCTTGTGTTTTTTTGTTTTGTTTTTTGTTGATTGTTTTTTTTTGCAAAATATAAAAGAATTACGATGTCGTTTAACACTCACAATAACATATTTGGTTACCGGCCATTCAGCCATTCAGGTCGTACATGTGTCAAGTATACAGTCATATATACAAACGCCTAACTATAGAAGCCTATCATTCTTAATTTCTACTTTTCGCCCTCCAAAACACGAAAGTCGAAAAGTAGCAGTTACGACAAAATGTGAGGCGACAGCAACGCTATACAAGCCAAAATCGACTCGAAAATAGGAAATCAAGAAATAATACACTGCGATAATAGCGCCCCTCGTTTTTTTACCAACGAAAGTAACCCGTTCAACAAAGTGAGTTTTAGTAAAGTTCACAAGTATTTAAAACTAAACAAGCGCTTTGAATAGATAAGGTAATTGTCAGGCGACGATGATTGGTGTTAAATAGTGATGATGACGACCATGAAGATGATTTATTTATATATTTATTTATATACTAGAAGAATGCCCGGCTTCACTCGGGGGTCATAACTCCGAAACCGGAAGTGGTAGACTAACGCCACCTGGCCTATGTTACTCCCCGGTCCGAGCTACCCCTATACCCCAAATTTCAGACTCGGAAATGACAACGTGAATGATGGATCAGTCGAACGACAGAGTGAATGACAGGGGTTTTCCAGTCGAATAATAAAGATAATGGCAACTCTGGTCATAGCATATCTGTTTAAAATATATATCATATAAATGTTTATACACGTATTTGAAAAATACATTTAGGTCTACGTGTAATGTTGAATGTATAAATTCGGAAATGTTTTGATCTCTTGAACTGTATTATTTAAAATACACGATTAACGTATTAAATTGTAAATAATGAATCAAGCCAAGACATGTATTAAATGTTTTAAATGTTTTATTGAATTGGAATAGAAACTGAAAACAGATTAACACCCTGTGTGAGATATTTCATTCAAATATTGTGAAAGGGTTGGTAATAAAATTAAAATTGTCATTGTGTCATTTTAATAACATTGAATCGTCCTATTCTGTTACGTAGTCGTCTCAACATATTGTTGTCATGGGTTACTTCTGCTAAACAACTCAATAGAAACGAGTAAAGTATTATAAACGAAATTATGTCTAAAGAGTTCTTCATGACATGTATTGACTGTAAGCCACAAAGCGTACAGGATCTAAGTGTGATGTTAAAGGTCAACACGCAAATATTGAAATTGGGTATGTTCGTGGATTGACTTATAGAATGTTGTTAATATTTCCATTTAAATAAATACAAAAAGCAATTCGAAAAATAAACTATAAGTAAAGGAACCATCTCAGTGAATAAAGCTATTAATATGCCGTTAACCCGTGAGGCAAACCGAATGATGTTTTATAGTAAATTAGACGAATAAAACATATAACGTTGCCATCTCGACCCTGATGCCCATGAACACAAATGACGAGTTTAAGACAACCCAATTGCGGAATGGAATTGATTAATGCAATATATATTTTATTATGTATTGACAATACTTTTCTGGTTAGATTTTAGCCTAAACACGACATGTGTGTTGGTGACAATTTTGGCAGTCATATCTGAATGACTCAAAAACTGTTTATATTTCTTTAACTTTTGGTATACCTAAATTCGGGCTATTATTTATGGTAGAAAGATATAATAAAATGACCTAAAGCTTTAAAACATATTTTTAAATATGTTGAGGCACCCTAAATTGAATTTGAAGCACCAGGGATAAATAAATAAAAATAGCTATAATGCATGATTTTATTGTAACTATTGAACTGATAAATATTGTACAATTTATCTAAAGAGTACATTTATGAAAACGTGGTACTTTTCTGATATCTAGTTAAATTAACACTTACCCAGATCTTGGCATAAGCATGACTTAAAATGATCACGGCTAAAACACTTCCGTGCGAATCAAGAATTCTTTATGTAAGAATAGAGCTTTATAAGACCGTAAATGCACCACACATTATGTCTCCATAAGATGGTAGCTATAATCTTTCAATCCAATCCCCTAATTAAGTATACCCCCACCCAATCATAAAAAAATAATAACATAGCAAAACGGTGTTTAATTCTGATCATCTAAATTATCAAATGATATTCGCCGAAGTAGTAACTGAGAAGGGCGTGTTTTAAGATATACATAATGTATCTTACTATTTTTCGCTTATATAATTTGATTTTCAAATACAAACCATTAATACTTATCTTAGCATTAAAACAATCAACCATTTGTGGTTATATTGAAATCTGTAAAAGACGCATTCTTTTTGAATATATTTTTAAAAAATAATAAATGGAAAAAAACATATTATTAACGCTTTTTCAACAAGCAATTGTTATACTCTTAGTGATTTGTAGAGCGTCAAATCACAATGTTATTGTACTGTTTTAAATTGTAGATTTTATTCATTCATGTAAAACATTTATTACAATTTTATAATAAAATGTATAAAACACTGAGTTCGAGATTCAAATCACAAATCCATCCATGCTAGGATACTGCAAATCCGAATATTTTTGTTTATAAAATATTTACTTTCCATTCAATAAATATTCCAGTCATCTAGTTTTGGATTTGGGGAAATTCATTCTCCTTTTCCCATATATACATATAAGAAATAAATAAATTTTGTCGTGAATTCTACTTTTCGAGTTGCATGTTTAGCTTGAATAGCGTGATGGCGACTTGCGACATATTTTCAGAAATTTGGAAATTCACACATCGCGATATTCACGAGCTATCATGTTGATTTTCTGTCGAACTGTAGATTTTTCGAGTTTCGCAATTCGCTTTAATGAAACGATCTGTGTGATAGAGTCTAGCATATACACTATCAAATAGTATCAATACTAGACTTTATAAAAACATTAATCTTTGTATTCTATTCACGCCTATGTATACACATATGTTTTGATAAAGGCGTAAGATCCCAGAATTGTTGTGGTTTTTTTCAGGGTGTGGGGAAAAATTTTGTGGACGAGAAAATTCTCTTGCGTTAGCATGTTGTTTCCACCAGTCTCCTACCAATATGTTACAACATCCGAACGATTTTTGCATCATTTCCTGACTTGACCACTAACTGACCGCAATGACCTCTAGATGGCCCCTATGACCCCATTATTCATGCATTTTTATATGGCCATAGTGAAGGTTAGATCTATATATTAAGGCCACATG